ATTTACAAGATGATTCATAACAGGAGCAAAATTATAGTTGTGAAGTAGCAATGGAAATAAATTGATGTTTGGGGGTCACCACAACATAAGGAACTGTGTTAAGGGGTCACGGCATTAGGAAGGTTGAGAAACACTGTCCTATTGAAATGGGTGCCTTTGTCTTCTTTTTCAGCGGGTTGCAAAGTCTGCTTCGTGGCGATGGTGCAGTCCTTCAGCCACTACAACTTCGTGGCCCAAAAGCTGGTAAGCTGTGTGGATTTAAATTTTCTATACGGACAATAACCTCTGCATCACATTTTTCTTAGAGGTGTCTCTTTTGTGACTTCTATGTTGCTGGAAGGCAGTTGCAAATGCAAGACAGTGGAAAAGCCCCCTTCTTAGCACGCACGCAGAGAGCCTGATGCAGGATGGTTTGAATAGAGAGAAATTATATTTATCATTTTTCTCTCTCTCCAGGGAGTCAGTCTGGCAGCAGCCAAAGAAAAGGGGCAACTTGTGTTTTTGGAAGGGCTGAAGGCCTCAAACAGCATCTTGTTTGGCGAAGGGCAGCAGTCAGATGAAGCCAACCCATTCCAGTTCATCAGGTGAGAAACTGTGCAGGGGTTACTCATTGCCATTGGGTTCTATTTCGATAGCAGATTGCAACATTACAATGCTTTGTTCTAGAACTTTGGTAGAATTCCAAATCCTGCTCCAAACTACACATTTTACAAAGACTTCAAGCTTCTCTACCAAATAATTCCAAATAATAATAAAGAGAGTAAAATAATTAATGTAATAATAATAATCTATATCAGTGTTTCTCAACCTGGGGGTCGGGACCCCTGAGGGGGTCGCGAAGGGGTATCAGAGGGGTCGCCAAAGACCATCAGAAAACACAGTATTTTCTGTTGGTCATGGGGGTTCTGTGTGGGAAGTTTGGCCCAATTCTATCATTGGTGGGGTTCAGAACGCTCCTTGATTGTAGGTGAACTATAAATCCCAGTATCTACAACTCCCAAATGTCAAAGTCTATGTTCCCCAAACCCCATCAGTGTTCACATTTGGGCATACTGAGTATACGTACCAAGTTTGGTCCAGATCCATCATTGTTTGAGCCCACAGTGCTCTCTGGATGTAGGCGAACTACAACTCCCAAACTCAAGGTCAACCCACCAAACCCAGTATTTTCTGTTGATCATGGGAGTCCTCTGTGCCAACTTTGGTTCAATTCCATTGTTGGTGGGGTTCAGAATGCTCTTTGTTTACATATAAACTACAACTCCCAAATAACGAAATCAATCCCCCCGACAACCCCACCAGTATTCAAATTTGGGCATACTGGGTATTTGTGCCAAATTTGCTCCAGTGAATGAAAATACATCCTGCAAATCATTATTTACATGGCAATTCATAATGTTAGGGTTATGGTTGGGGGTCACCACAACATGAGGAACCGTATTAAGGGGTCACAGCATTAGGAAGGTTGAGAACCACTGATCTATATAAATAAAAACGTAATGTTATAACATAACTCAAAAGCCACTGGACAATTTGATACCAAATTTGGACACAAGACACCTATCAGGCCAACAAGTGCCCATCACTCATAAAAACACTGATAAACAGTTTATGTGAACTGTTGTGTTCTGTTTCTTTGTCAGCATCTAATGACTGCCCATTGTAAGCCGTCCTGAGAAGGACAAGATACAAATGCTCTAAAATAAATAAATAAAATAAATAAACTTTAAAAGACCCTTTTCTTTGGTAATGTAAACATGTTGTTTTCCACCAAGAGTTCCTCAGTTAAGCATTTGTCTCTGGTCATCAATGTCAGCAGTTCTGCTTGCTTTGTGTTTTTAAATACATTACAACTGTACCCTCAATTTGCTTCTAACACGATAAGCAGTTCAGCAACTTTTAATTACAGTCCACGAATTTACTTTTTCTAGTTTTTTACGCTTCATTTCTTAGGATGGCATCTCCAAGTTATCATTTATTTATTTATTTATTTAATAATTTAATTCTAGCATTTCTACCCCATCCTTCTCAAACCCCGGGGGGGGG